TGTTTTATAATGAAGACGGATGTCAATGACAGCAATTATGTACTGCAAATACCATCTTGGAAGTTTTTCTGTCTGGAAATGGACAATCTAAGCCCATGAAATTGCTTGCCTCATTTCAATTTCTATCTTTTTGAAGGAAAATCTTGAGAGAAGGATATCATACGTGATATTTCAGGATACGAATTTACTCAGTGAGGAGATTAATAACCGTTTGTCCTTATTATAAATTTGAATGTATCATGGAGAGAATTTCACGTGCAAATAAATCAACACTACAACTACTATTCAGAAACTAACTACTCGCTGTTCCTCATTCCATCCTACCTTATCTTCCATCTTTTCCTTTTTCGCCGTGTAACTCTCCATTGACCCTCTGTGACTAGTATAGTATACTTAAGCAAATTGACCTCAGTTTAAATAAGAAATTACACTAACAGTCACAAGCATGATGGCTATTTCTTGGTGCCACAAGAAAGAACACACACTGGGGGCCAGATTACCAGTAGAACACCACTTAAGCTATGTATAATAACCATTTCTATGCAACAACCGGGAAGCCCAAAAATGGGTTTATGGAAATGCTCATGTATACCGTTTGCCAACAAACCCCTTCAGCAAACATAACCCTTCTCCAACAAATTTCAAAATTCCATTACCATGTAATCTTCCAAAGTTAGAAAAATGCATGCTGAATCACTTGGGCATGTTTCGATAGTTGGAATGATCAAGGATGATGGGAGTGATATTCCTGTGTGGTGACTCCATATCTCACTAGATTTTAATGATGACAGCCGATAGCAAAATAAAAAAGCAGGCAGCGTAGTTAGAGTTAGTGTGCATTGATATTTTTATTCGCATGCTAATGTAATATAGTCTCTTCCTTATACATACAATTTTAATGAAGATCAAAGGTTCTTATCTCCTCAATTGAGATTGTCATGCGATCCTCTCATGTATCCCATATTCTATATAGCTGGTGCAGAGAAACGCGTAAATCCTGCATGTCTATTCTTATTAGGAAAGGATGACTGCCTGAATCTGGTTTTGTTGCCATCATCTCTTTGCTTTGTCATCATCTTTTTCTTAATGGTGCTGGTTTTTGGGACTCAATAATGTTGGTTATTTTTAACATCCATTAGGAATACAACTTTAAGGATCTGACTGCGTACCTTGGGATGCTTGTGCTTTCAGTATGTGAATTGTCCAGCACAATTATATCAAATATACGTGTCATTATGTGAAGTATGGGCACTGACACAAAGCATGCGGCATTTGACTTTTTACATGTGAATGTGTGATGGACAGTTTGAATTCACCGTCTTTTTTTCATTTGTTTTAGTTCTTTATCATTTTCAAACATTTATAGATGCAACATTTGGTTCTGTTGTTTATTTTTCATAAATCTCAATTTACTATCTTCGAATGAAACTAAATCAAAATATAACAAATGCAGCCATCGATATGCCTATTTTTTATTTGCAAGGTCATTGCAGATATTGCTCTTGATCCTCACTGTTGTGTTTCTGAAATTTATAGGTGGAGGTTCGAGTGAGGGAAGGGAGAGCTGTCAACATCCATATGTTTTGTGCCCGCAGGCCAGGTCTTCTTTCTGCGTTCCACCATGAAGGCTTGGACAACCTTGGTCTAGATGTGCAGCAGGCCGTTATAAGCTGTTTCAATGGCTTTGCTTTAGACGTGTTCAGAGCTGAGGTATGCTAGCATCACAGCAATGTTTCTCTGTTACTTTTTAAATGACACCTGTTGTTAATTTCAATTTGTTCATGACCCATAACATATTCAGTCATTCCTCCAATATTGATGCTTGATTCCTACTTCTATTTACGTCACAAATTTAAAAACCGATTCTGTAAATTGGTTTCATGCTGAAGTGCACCAAAATTCTTCCAGTGGAAAATTTTTAGCCAATTTAAATTAACGAACAACCAATTTCTGTAGACTTTGTTGGTTGTACTTTACATCAAGGCTCATATTCTGAACAATAGTGTCTAAAGAATTAAAAATGAGAAATGTGGATGAGCTGAGTTGTGATGAAGGGAAATGTCTTGATAGCGGGACATTGGTGACCAAGAACGCGGACCTGACACTTCAGTCTGAGAATCAAATCTCACTTCTCAGAACTGTTAGCTTCACCCACATATATTAAGTGTGCCCGTTTGGCTGTCGCTAACTTGCTGTAGGTGATTAGGTGTATTGCAAAGCAGAGGGATGTTTGTTTTAGTACTGAAAAAAATGTATGGTTCCCTGTGAAAAGAGTGCTTCTTGTTGACGAGTTGATGTTTAATCTTTAAGCTCGTTAAAAGTTGACTTGACGAAGAAAAAATGTTGAAATCTCAAGATTTTTCAGATTCATAGTGTTTTTCTTGTTGCCTAACAGCATTGCAGAGAAGGGCTTGACGTGGTCCCTGAGCAAATCAAAGCAGTTCTGTTGGATTCAGCCGGTTTCCATGGTATGATATGAGTGAAGTATTTGACAAATGCTGCTACTACTACCAGCAGAAGCACTAACTGTAGTTAGTAGTCAGTGATTAGAAGTTACCGTACCTCAAACAGTTAGTTTGTAAATGTGATTGCTTCACATGGCCATGGAAAGGCATGTCTAGGTCAATATCAACTAGGTTAGCCGACATCTTTAGGCTAAGGACTGACCCCTGGTATTTTTTCTCAGCCAACTTTACTGCCGGAGCAGACTAGTGTTGCTATCTTGAATTATGGAATAAAAGATTCTTACTTATTTTCAATTTACTTGCTCTGTAGGCATTGTCTTGATTGGCTATTTTTGTTTTAAGTTCAAGTGTGCTATTTTGGGATTGTTACTTTTAGGTTGCATTTTAGATGAGTGAATTTAAGTTGGGAATTTGGATTTAAAATTTCATATTTAAAATCTCACATTTGAAATTTATAAATTCTAAATTTTTTGTTTAGATAATATAAAACATTTTAAATTATAATATTAAAATCTTTTGTTTGGATCTTAAGTAAAATTTCAAAGTTTATATTATATGTTTGAATTTAAAAGCAGCTTGAACAACGTTGGTGGTTCGATTCTAGTCAAAGTTGGTGGTTTGAATAGTCGACTTTCACTGAGACTAGACCGCTAACACCTATTGGGATTGAATGACAGACTTCCACTCAGACCATATCATAGGCGATGATTGGAACTAGATGGTTTAACTTCTACCAGGATCAGACCGTTAGCATTGACCAGTGCTTAATTGTTGGCCCCAACCGATAGCTACCAGAGTGCAGGTGAAGATTAAGACCAACTGGCCGACTTCCATCGACATCGAACCGCCAATGCCTACCGAGATCAAAGTGCAGGCGACGACTATGACTGGACAATCGACTTTCACTGAGACTAAACCACTAGTGCCAACTAGGACAGGACTGCCAATACCAACAGGGATGGGATAGGTTTAAGACAAGATCGGTCGATGCTAGCAGTTTGATTTTAGTGGAAGTTAGTCGTTGGTCTCAATCGTTGCCTTTACTCCGATCTTAGTCGATCTGACGATTTGGTCTCAGTAGGCGACAGCATAGCTATCTAGTTCTGGTTGTCATTGGCAATTTGGTCCTGTTTAGTGTCGCAGACGAGTCAATCAAATTACAAAGAGATTGAAGTAAGATTTAAAATAAAAAAAGTTTAAAAAAGATTTCAAATTATAAAAAAATTGAGGTAAAACTTAAATTTAAGTCAAATCTAAATTCATATATTTTTAACTACTCAAATAACGGATTTGGTTTAAATCCAAATCTCTAAATATTCAAACATAGCATTACAGTTTTACAACCCCTACCATTAACAAAGAATGAAAGAAAAGGTGAAAAACCCAAATGAATATGGCATGCTCCTCCTCCCTTCCAGAACGAGTAAGAAATTGTCAAATATACTTGAAACTGTTTTTGAATGCCCAGGAAGTTGCTCGTCATGAATGGTGATCAAGTTTTCACGCCATTCATCCTCGCAATTTATCTATTTCAATCTAGCTGCAAAAATTTTGATTTTTTTTTTTTTGTTGTTGGCGTCGAAGCAAATTATTCCAATATTACGTAGAATCTTATTGCTTATCCACTTATAATATTAATGATTAAACCTACGTGTTCAGTATAAGAAATTAAAGAAAAAACAAAAACAAAAGCTACTCAACTAAACTCATTAAACTTGTTCTTCAAGCTCGAATTGAAGTGTTGAAAGCAAAGCCGCAATTCTTGAATTTTTCAGGGCAAAATTGCAATTAAATTTGGGTAAGTGAAGCCCATTTGGATTGACTGGAAAAATAAATGGGTCAGGTTGGATCAGCTCAGGGGTGTTCTGAATTTCTTAACCCAATCTGCAATCTACCAACACCTTCTTTTTTTTAAAAAAAAAAACCCCTAATGCATTGCTTTTTAATTGCAATTTGTGATTTTTTTCACGTTTTTTTATTGAAGATCTTTGTTTGAGATATGGTAGAACACAAAATGTGAACAACTCTTTTAGTGAGAATTTAAACATTGGCAATCCATGTTTCAATTTTTGGTTTAGAGAGAGGGGAGGGAGCTTCCAAACCTTGCAAATTAGATAGTTTGGGCCAAAATTGGTCCCTTTTTTTTGGGCACATGGTCCCTTTTCATTTATTTACCATGGGATGTGTCTTTTCAACTCGACCTTTAAGCAGGCCAGCCCTTACATTGACCCATACCTCAATTATTTGATAACACGTACTTGCCTGTTGAAATTACACCATTCCCTCTCTTTCCACTCAAATACCTATCCTTAGCTATAGTTTCTTAAATTCATAATCTTTCGGGATTGTAGTGAGTGAATTGATGTCAGGCGTGACGCGTCAATATTCAATACTAATTTAAATATAAAATCTATTGTAAGCTGTGTCGTGTGCAAATTGTTGATAATGTAGTTAATTTTTAGATTTTCTACGCTTAGAAGCCTTCTTGGTTAAAACAAAGATTGAATTGTGATTTCCGCAAGGGATTGATAAGGACAGGCGCAAGAATTTGGATAGAGTATTATATTACGTGTATCAATTTTAAAAGATCGGGAGACATGTGTAGTTTAATATTTTAAGCCGATGAGAAAAGTGAACACTGTAGAGCTACCCCGGAGACTGTTTGTTTATTTACACAGTAAAAAAGTGATTATTTTAAACTAGACCGTCCAAGCAACAACATTTTTTAAGGGGACAGCAATCTTTTGATGAAAAATTCTTTTGCGCATGTGCATGAAGAAGCTAATATAGTAATACCTATACTAATTTCATTACTCATTCCAGACTAGTGTGGATTTAGAATGTCTTGTTTGAACCAATACAATTACAATTTAACTATAATTTTGACTTTTAGTTTTTGAAATTGAGAATTGATTGGTTCAGATGTTCAATGACAGGCTCAATTTTCAGTAGCATGATCGTTGGTATTCATCAAGTCCGTGGCCTTTTCATTTTATTTAAAAAAATACAATGCCTCATTTGATACAATGAAAAAGTTTTTAATAAAAGTGAAAGTAAAATTGAATTTTAAAATATATTTGATAGGATGATGGAAGTGAAATTGAAACTACTATTAAATAATATTAAAATTAATAAAATTAAATTTTACAGTAAAGATAAACTAAGTCATTTTTTTAAGAGTTAATGAATTAACTATTTGAATTAGAATTATAAAAAGCTAAATAGTAAGAAAATTTTTTATGATAAAATTAATTTTAAAAATAAATTAAAATTAAATAAATAAAAAAATTGAATTGAGAAAATTACTAAATACAAGTAACACAATCAATCATAACCCAATTACTTAAAATTAATCTTTCTTATCCACAAAATAAATTAAATTTATTTAACATTATTATTTTAATTTTATTATATATTTTTTAAATTAGCATTCAAAAATTAAATAAATAAATTAAGTTATAGATTAATTAAAATCTCCCTTAATCCAAAACGTAACAACTATTTTTATATTTGCCACGCTAGAAACAAAATATAAGTAATCATTCAAACTAAGTCAAATTACTATTATATTACTGTATCAATTAATTACAGTAAACAAAACTTTAGATAAAATATATAACTTAAAAATTATGTAATAAAATTATTTTAATTAATAATAATAATTAAAGTATAAAATTTAAATTAGAGTGAAAAAGAGTAACAATTTAAAATAAATATAAACTAAAATTTTCTTCAAACATTAAAGATTTTTATTAAAATTTAAAGTTATAATTTATAATTGATTATACTGAAAAAATTAGCTGTTCGCAGCACTAAACATCAGCACTGTATACTGTTGAAGGAAAGGAAAGAAAAGACAAAGAGCTGTCGCCTACGACTATGTTGCCTCTGCTCCTCTCAAAATTATTCGGCCGCCTCCTCTGTTCCCTTTTTCAATTAAAAAAACGTGCTCTTTTCCATTAAAAACAGGTGATGCGTTGGGTGCTGCGTCTCTTCTTAAATAGAACTTAATAATTTAATAAAATGACAAACACATTCTTAATAAACCTAATTAAAAACTTTAAAATAAATATAAATAAAGTTTCTGCAATTTTATTCTTAACTTAATTTTCAACGTGCCTATATTGTTCTATATAAAATAATCTCTATCTATTTCTTCTAAATTAGATTCATCAAATCTGTATAAATAAGATAAAATTAAATAGTAAATGTATGAAAATATCATTTATATTTTAAAATTCAAGATTTATGTAGTTAAAATTTTAAAATTGAAGATTGATTAGTAAAATTAAATAATATTTAATTAAACTTAATTAGCTTTGAAAAAATATTTAAAAATTTAAATTAAAAGAATAAAAATACACAAAATTACTATTTATCATAGAGATGTTTTTTAATTAATATAATCATTTATTATGTGAAAAGGCTTAAATGCTCTTGATAAAAAAATCCTATCCACCACCTTAAATAATTGTCATTACCACCACCTCAACACAACCACTCACCAATTAAGAGAAAGAAATCAAACCAAATGCCATGGAAACCAAAGAGGAAAAAATCAAACCAAAGACCCACAAGTTGGAGGAAACATCTCAAAAAAAAAAAATCAAAACCAACAGATCTAGAAGTATTGAGATGAATACAAAAAATCACATAAAAAATGGAATGAAAAAAAATGAAATTATTCATGTTGACAATGAAGATTTAGAAGGGACTGAGATGAATGTAATCATTCATGTTAAAGAAAATCTATTGTTGTGCAAATTTGGACATGCAAGGAAGATAGAAATCAAAGAGAAAAATGAACTTGGTGTTGGGTTTAGAGATTGGAAAAAAAACTCAAGGAGGAGATAATAGAGTCTTTTGCAATGGTGACGATGGAGTTAAGAGATGTCATGGAAGAGGCAAAGGAGATGATGTGGGTGGATTGAGCCCTTCCTGTTCATTTGACCACATGCTTCAACCTTTACTATAACTTTATCATTGTTGTAGTCAATGTGTAACATCAAGGAAAAAAGGTAGGTTATCGTTGAAGAAGAGAAGATTAAAAAGATCATCGTGCGAGGAGAAAATGTTGGAAATGATAAAAGTGAAAGAGAGGTTTGATACAATCTAATTTTATAGGGGAGTTCCATCAATTTTGGTTGAATAGGGTTCCTTTGAGAACCTAGATCTTGTGTACCAAACTTTTTTTTTAAATTCCATTTCCCTCATCCCAATTTCATGTTACTAAACGACGTTGGAATATTATTTATGAATTAGCATTAATTAATAAGCCCAATAAATTGGTCATTATGATCTTGTGTGGATCGTGATAGGTGGACCACACAAGTGAGCGCAATGGGCAGAGACCCAACCCACAACCCAGTAGCTATCAGTTATTTCTTATCTCTTAACTGACTGAGTCAGAGATAATAGATAATATAATTATTTAATTATTTAATAAGGCGGTTACCGATTTGATCTATATAAGACGATTAGTCGGTAACCGCAAACACACGACTCATTTTTCTTCTACTTCCATTATCTCTGAACTCTCTGAAAGCTCTGGGAATCTGTGGGTTGTGTACCTGCCTATACTCGAGGTAATCGAGATTTCTCTAGCACTCATAGATTCTTCAGATACGCATACATTACTTTATTTATTTATATGAATTGAGATATAAATAAATCTAACAAACGAGCCATAAAAAATTAACTTTAAAATTATTTCAAATTAAAAAGAAAAAATGACTTAGATGTCTCATATCAAAGGCAAAAATATATTCTTTTGAGACCACAATATATGTCTTTTTTTGGAAACATCATTTGGTTCAAAAATGTATGTTTTTTCTCTATTCATACCCTTATCTTTTTAAATGCTCTGTATTTAAAGATTATGCATATGTTATTAGAAAAATTTAAGAATACAAATAAAAAGACACGAGCATTTAAGAAACATAAATTTTAACTAATATTTTTATATATTATAAATTAGTTAATAATAACAAATATTACAGTCTCGATGGACTGCAAAAAAGGAAATTCTCATATTACATCAGAGCACGGGGAGCTTCAAATTCATTAGCCGCTCGCCATTCATAGGCTTGAATGAATGGCGATTTGACATCCCAACTTTAATTATTTAGTGATTTACTCATCCTGTCATGCTCAGTCCCCAGTCCCCACCACTCAGACGAACCCATTGAAATGTGTTTTGTGGTCAAAGCGCATTGAAAAGCTTAGAAGCGGTGGCTTTTTCCGGATCCACTATTTCGTGGCGCTTGATTTCCACCCCACTATTTTCTTCCCTTCTTTGTTTCTTTCGGTAGAATAAAGATGCCTTTTATCATTTGGCAAATGTAATTTTACTATTATAGACCAGATTCATATATGACTTTAAGTATCAAGTGTTTGTTTTCACTCTCTCTTCTTCAACCATAGCACTTCCCAAAATGCTAACGTGAAACACGCATTAATTTAACTGGAAAGTAAAAAAATTACCAATCTAAATATTTTAAAATTATTCATGGCATCAACTATTCATCAAATATTTTTAAATTAAGTATTTTTTGTTGTTGTTGACGCTAATCAACTAAGAATAACTAATTTTTGGATTTTAATCAAATCGATGGCATTATCTAAATTGGTAGAAATAAATCATGTGAAACAAAATGTTACCTTCAGCTTCAGGCCTCAGCCACTCAAATGTCACTTTACTGTCAAAATAGATTAACAGAACCAAAAAAAAAACAAAAAAGAAAATTGAATTACTTTTTTTTGTATCCACGAGCTGAAACGTTGAACCTCAAGTTCAGGACTGCTACATTGTCGTTTTGCAACTGTGATGGTGTTTGGTTGGGCCTGCAAACGTATTTTCAGATACTATCTTGGCCCACATTGCCACTGAAAAAACCCGTCAATGCGAAACCCTGCAGGATCAGCAATCACTAATCAACTTTACTGGGGAAAAAAAAAAGAACAGTGATCACCAATCAATCGACAACCACATTGACAACAAAATATCCAGGGAAAAGGTTTTGAAATTGATCACTTAAAAAATAAAGATTAGTTTTCTGGCCCAGAAAAAATATAGATTAGTTTACAAAAAATCAGTATCGTCAATTTAGATCAACATGGAAAACATACAGCGAAGCATAAAATTTAACTGGTCATGACCCACCGCATGTCGTTTTATAATTATGATGGTTTTCCCCATTGTGAATGGAAAATCGTCGGGGCAACACACAGATTATTAATAAAGTAGATGCTTGTTTAGTTCTGCAAAACTTGGTTCTGTTTTTTGCCCAAACCATAACCGGGGTGCGGCGAGTATGAACACTCCTCCATATCATGGATGAATTGTGATATATTCATCTAATTCTATTTAAAATAAAAAAAAATTAATTTTATTTAAAAGGCAATTGTTAATTCTCAATATTTTTTTATATTTTTATTATTATTAAATATTTTAAATAAAAATATCAGTAATGAGATTTAAAAATATTTGTTATGAGTAAAGGTGAAAATTTATTAAATTTTAAAATAAAGTTAATAAAATTTAAAATTTTAATTCTGATAAAATATGTTGAAGTGATAAGGGACCAGAGGGAATAGATTTCAAATTCGTATTTTATTTAAAAAACCCTTTGTGAGAAGCTTTTGGGTAATAAAACGTGTGAAAAAGATTGACCAAAAACAGAAAGTGAAAACAAGACCTTAAAATAAGGATACTTCCAAGTTCAATTGTTTTTTTTTTTTTTCAAAGACCCTATGTCTGCCGTTTGTTTCGACATACATAACCCAAGGGGCTTCTCGAGGAAAAGGCGGACCAAACCTCAACGAAACTAGCGAGCAATCTTTTTTTTTTTTAAAAACGTTTTGGAAATTACAGGCGGACTCAAAAGTTGGGTGCTGGAAAAACCACAGGAAAAAAAACCAAGAAGAGAGCCGCCGAACGAGCCACCTTCCTGGTTGCTCCTTCGGAGCTTGATAGCTCGCGGTCAAAGTTGAAACGACCGCGCAGCTTCTCTCTCTGAACCCACCAAAGTGCGCCTAAACCCTATCGTTCATTCAGTTTGTCGATATTCTTTCGGACAATCGGTCCGTGCATTTCCCCCCTCCATTCTCTGGCCGAACGGCGGGAAAAATACATGGATGTGATTTTTTGTTTGCTTTTGCAGTAATATTTAAACCATTGCAATGTTGTGACTGATCAACCTTGCTTGAATGACGTGCGGATATAATTTCGGAGAAGTGGAAGCATTTAACTGATTCAGATCTCTGAGAATTCTTTCCCATTTGAATCATCTGTCGAAATAACTGATTGAAATAGGCCATTTTTTCGTCAAGCTCCTAAAGACGCGTTAGCGTTAACTGAATAAGCATGGGGAGTGCTCTGCAACTTTGTGGGGCTAAAAACACCTTCTCCGTGACTCCGAGCAGTTTGCATTGCCAACCTCTGTTATCACGACGAATTGGTTTTGCCGCATCTGTTTCTTCTGTTTCTGGGTTATGCTGTATAAGAAGATTCTCAAGGGAACGGGTGGCATTCAGTACTAGTTGCAAAGCTGCAAAAAGTGATTTACTTGTGAAGGATGAGACTGAACATCAGAAATTTGGTGAAACGAAGAAATGTTTTACGAGCGTCATGAAGTTTGGCGGCTCGTCTGTTGCTACTGCAGAGAGAATGAAAGAGGTCGCTAGCCTTATTCTTAGCTTCCCAGAAGAGAATCCTATAATTGTTCTCTCTGCGATGGGAAAGACGACTAACAAGCTTTTATCGGTATTGTTTTCTGGTTTATTTCATGTCAATGTTCTTTTCTTATCTCTCTTGGTAAAGATAAGTATAAGGAAACGTAAATAATCTGTTAGGCTGGAGAAAAAGCCGTCAGTTGTGGTGTTGCCCACGCGTCATGTATTGATGAACTCAGCTTTATAAAAGACCTGCATCTCAGGCAAGAGCAACGCGTCTTTCATTTTACTTTTCTATTTGGAATGGAAATGCGTGTTTTAAATCACATCCTGATTGACTAATGTCTTCTGATTGCATGCTTTTCCCTCATTCAGGACCCTGGATGAGCTTAAAGTGGACAGATCTGTTATTGCAAGTGAGTTACTTGCTTCACATTAGATCTTTTGTTCAAAATTGGACAAAATGAATATCTATTTTGTATCATGGGCATGGCCTTCTTATGAGAAACTCACCTCGGCTGTCCGCTGTCCTGAACTCTGCTATATGGGTCAAAGGATTAGCATGCATGTGCTTAACTTGAACATGTATTTAGATTCTTATGCATGCATAGTTTTGCACCATTAACGTAGCATATGGAATTGGCACTAGTTTGAGCGAGACTAAATTTTTTACCGTAATTGTGATTGCTGTCACAGTTAAAGATGGAAGCATGGTTTGAGCTGGTTTCGTCTTTCGATCCCTTGATGAAATAGTAGCCCAATATACGAAGAATTAGAAAATAGAATTCTATTTCTCTAAATGATGGCAGATCAAAGTATTGTTTATGTTTAATTTATTGGAGAACAATGGATCAATGACCGACTTATACAGAGTACAAACTTTTAATTTTAACACTCCACTGCCAGAAGTAACTCATTAATTGAACTATTTCTATCATATATCTTCTGTCCTCTCAGTAGCATGGTTGTTCACGTCATTGTCATTTGTTTATGCTCACATCTTTGCTGACCCTGATTTTCTGGCTGCAACTATTTCTAGATCATCTAGAAGAACTGGAGCAACTTCTGAAGGGGATTGCCATGATGAAAGAGTTGACACCACGAACGAGAGACAATTTAGTTTCATTTGGAGAGCGCATGTCCACTAGGATCTTTGCTGCATATCTAAATAAAATGGGTGTTAAGGCTCGCCAAGTATGTACTCCTGGTCTGCTCATCTAAGTCATATTGAACTAAAAAGCTTCACTTTTTATTATAGGGAAAGTTTGTCTAGCTAGGAATAAGTTATTCAGTTTTTATCTATAGTCACTATCCCTAGTGACTTATTGCTAATTTATTGTTCTGGCAGTATGATGCATTTGAGATTGGTTTTATTACCACCGATGACTTTACAAATGCGGATATTCTGGAAGCAACTTACCCTGCAATTGCAAAGAGATTATGCGGAGATTGGATCTCTGACTCTGCTATACCAGTTGTAACAGGCTTCCTTGGAAAGGTCTAATTGATGCCTTACTTTTCAAACTCTTCTTTTCATTTTTTTACCCCTCTGGATGTTTGCTTTGCTGAATTGCAAACTCCTGAATCAGAAAACTGATATATTTCCTTTTATTTCTTCTTCTAGGGCTGGAAATCATGCGCAGTAACAACACTGGGTAGAGGTGGTAGTGATTTGACAGCTACAGCAATTGGTAGAGCACTGGCGTTGCCTGAAATCCAGGTTAATATATAGAAACCTAGTTATGCATATCAAGAACGTAGCATGTCAGTGGACTTTGTTCGTATCTTGAATGAGAAGCTTGATATCAAGATTGGCTGTGTCACTGGGAATTCATTCAATAAATTCAGAATGTATATGAAACATTAGCATCCGTTGCTGCATAATGATCTGCATAACTTCATTACCTTTTCAAGATTAAATATAGGAGAAAAGGAAACAAATTGATTGTAGTCTCTTAAACAGGTATGGAAAGATGTTGATGGTGTTTTAACCTGTGATCCAAATATATGCCCACAAGCAGAACCTGTCCCATATTTGACATTTGATGAGGCTGCTGAACTTGCTTACTTTGGTGCTCAGGTATTGTTATATTTACTCTCGAGTTCTGCTGATAATATCCTATGCAGCTTCTCCCTTGTATATACAAGAATTTAAAGATGTGAGAATGACATTTAAAGCCATCTCAAGAGAATTTATCACAACAAGGGCCTATCAGTTTTTTATATTGTATTGTGAAAATGTGTATACGTTGTTATTAAAAGCTAAACTTTAACTTGATAAATTTCTAAGGAAACCATAATAAATAAAAAAAAAAATACAAGTCAAGGTTCATTTTTTAACTACAACATATATGTTTTCACAAGACGATATTCGATACAAAATTAATGGGTTCTTATTGTTATAAATTCCCTTGGGAGGGCCTTAAATGTCATTCTCCCTTTAAAGATTCTAGTTTGCCTGCCTGCTTGTGCCTTTAAGTTGGCTCCGTGTATCATTGCTTTAATGTTATATTATTTGTGAATCATTAATACCTCATGATGGCAGCAGTACCCATACTGTATGTGTCTCCAATATTGATAGTCTTGGTATGTATCTCAAGATTATCATATTTTCTTTGCCGGAAAACAGTGCTTGATCTGTTAAAACAAGTGATCACTCATAATGTTGTTGTTGACAGCATGATTCTTAGGGGACCAAATGATGGTACTTTCAGTCTTATTTTAATGCATTGTCAAAGGAAAGTATCAGTCATTTCTCCGATATGTTCCTTTTGCAGGTCTTGCATCCACAGTCTATGAGACCTGCTAGAGAAGGTGATATTCCAGTTAGGGTTAAAAATTCTTACAATCCAAAGGCTCCGGGTACTGTCATCACCAAGACAAGGGATATGAGTGAGGTTTGTAGCAATTCGTTATTGGAATCAATAATAACTAAATGACACTATAATCTGGAAAACTAGACAATGTTAAAATTTCCCTTTTCACTTGCAGGCAGTACTTACTAGCATTGTTTTGAAGCGTAATGTTACCATGTTGGATGTTGTTAGCACTCGCATGCTTGGTCAGTATGGCTTCCTTGCTAAGGTGAGAAAGCTAATGCCTAGGGTAGCTGTACAAATGATTGATCAACTTCAAGTCTTCATTCTCTCTTATTTATGCAGGTTTTTTCAATTTTTGAAGATTTAGGAATATCAGTGGATGTTGTAGCTACTAGCGAAGTCAGTATTTCCTTGACATTAGATCCATCAAGGCTTTGGAGCAGAGAGCTGATTCAACAGGCAAGTGTACGACAATATGCTCTTTTTCAAATTTCTGTTTCTTGCATTTGATTTGCATGAGGGCTTCTAGTTTGTATAACTAGACGTGGGTTTTGAGCATTGCATGAGTCTAAGATGAGCATATATGCAGCTTTGTATAAATTATATAAACTGACGATTTGTTCCTTTTGTTGAATCCATGATTATGTTAATCATATCCTATTGTGTTGGATTTATGTAATCCAGCCATTGCATGAATCTGAGTGCCTGTCACCCATTCTTTTTGGGCAGGAGCTTGACCATGTTGTTGAAGAACTGAAGAAAATAGCTGTGGTAGATCTCCAACAAAATAAATCCATCATTTCTCTCATTGGAAATGTTCAGAGGTCATCATTGATATTGGAGAAGGTTCAGTATAGCGTTCTCTCTGTTTGAATGTTAGTCCTTGATTTATGCCGAAGTTTTTGCTTTGTTGTATCCAGTTTTGATTGATTTTTTCATGGCTAGGACCATCCCATTATCTGGGTCCTTGCTCCTTCTCTTCTGTTCTCTATCTGACTTTGGGCCATTGTCAATATCAACATCTTGGACTAAAGCCCACAATTTTATACATTGTTTCTTGCCTTATTCTGGCTCAAGCTGATTTAAATCTGCTAGAAATTGTAAATCTTGTTTGGCTGTTTATTTTAACTAATAATTACTGATCGGTATGTTACTGCAGGCATTTCTTGTTCTCCGAACCCTTGGGGTCACTGTTCAGATGATCTCTCAGGGCGCATCCAAGGTATCCATCTTATTCACTCTTTATTTTTTTTCCACGTAAGCGCTATTAGGTAGTTGTCAACCTTTTCATTGCCCAGCACACTAGGCTCCATAGAATATCTTCGGTTAACCATGCTCATGAGTGCATTCATTCTTACCTTCTCATAAAACGTGTTTGGCTAGCACGAGATTTCTCACCCATGTGTTACTTCATGTCTTCTAATTCTAGCAGCTTTCTAGACTAGGGAGTCACTCACTGACGAGTCAATAAGCTAAAATTTTCATTTTGATGTTACCCTTCTGATCATTCTGTCTCATTCTTGACAGGTTAATATCTCGATGGTTGTAAATGATAGTGAAGCAGAGCAGTGTGTCAGGTCGCTCCATGCGGCTTTCTTTGAGAGTCAACTCGCTGACGAGAAACAATACAAATCTGGAAATGGTTCTGTTCCAGCATCATCATAGTCAACGCTTGAGAGCCTCCTTGCAGAAATATACGTCATTCTCAGCTCATCAATATTAGCACGTTCTCTCACCTTCCTTTGTGCGATGGAAACGCAGGACAGCTTGGGTTGGGAATTTTAGGTTATGTTTTGTTACCTATAGCTCGTTCTAAACCAGTTGAAATTTGGTCCCAGAAAAACAAAAAAAACAAAAAAACGAAGAAAGCGGCTATTATAAACACGGGAGCCGGAAGTTCTTGTTACTTCTCGAGAGTTCCCTTTGCGCCAGAAATGATTATGGTCCTTGTGAAATGAGCTGAAATGAGCACAGAGCCTGTGATTGTATAAACCAGTCGGAGTCTATTTCAAGACAAGAGCTGCATTAGTCAACAGGGATACATGCATATTTGATTCATATTCTACAAATTTTGAATATCTATATAAATTCAACTCGCGATGTTAGTATCACTATATTCAGGTTAGGTTTAATAAAATAAAATAAAATAAAATAGAAGGATTTATAAATTTAAGTATTAGAATTTTGAGTTGAGATATCATCATTGCTTATTACTCGTCTGTTTTTTCTACCCATTTTCAAACAATTGCTTTGCAAAAAATGTCGATATTCACGGATAAGGTGAAGCAAAGTTATGAAACTATTATAAGGATGAAATGGTTAAGAAACACTTTCGCTTCTCATTTTTTCAACATTATCCATGCACAACATTTTTATGCAAAATATTATACTTTATTTGAATGACTTTTAATTACCTCATGCATTATAAAAAACCAACTAAAAGTTAATTAAATAATTTAAATTGTCAAAAAGCTACATAGTTTCTAATATTATCCTTATTAATAGTATTAAACTCTTAACATCATATTAAGTGGGCACTCTTGATATTATATTTTACAACACTAATGATTTCAATGTGAACTTTAGCAATGAGCACCTTTTTATTTACGCACAAAGGACATATACAACGAAAACAAGAAGTCTAATAAATGGGGTGGATCATTTGAATTACACGATATTACTATCACAAATATGTAATGAATACTAATTAGGACTAAGAACACACGGCAGCAGGAGCACGACTATAATTGTTCTCTTCTCACCAAATCATTATATTTTCAGCGATAGTATCTTCATTTCTAAGAAATATGGCTTTCAGTGTCGGTTCAAGTTACTTGGTCTAAGTAACGGTTTTTTTTTTAATTGACCAAAAAATCGTGCATTTTGCTCTTACAGGAGAAATCAAGTCAGGGATTTAGATTGTCTCCAAAAAAAAAAAAAAAAGACTACCAGTAATCCCCGCAAGAGCAAAATCCATTTCTAAAATGATGGAATCTGCTTGAATCCCTGACTGTGATTTCCCTTTTAGCTATTTTGGAGATTACCTTGATGGCCGCATGGCAGTCAGTACAAGCTCGGAGGTTCTTCATCACCAGGATAGGTGTCCCTTCTGGCGTGCTAATAAGTGCAAACGCAATGGCAAGACGCTCACTGTGATATTTAAGAGACTCTATCTTGAGTTCCTCATCGATATCGTGAAGGGTACAACTTGGGTCGGGTTTGTACCCTTCTTTCTCCATCTGCTCAGCCAGCTCATCAATCTTCTTCCTAATCTCTTCCATTTCTGGGTGAGCCTTGTCATTGGCTAAGAAAACATGAACTTTATGTTTAACTTCTACCCAGCTGTAAGCTGGGACTTTTCTAACTCCTCGCTCTCTCATAGCCTTCTTTACCACGCTTACGCTATCCCATTCACCAGCTTCTGCATAGATATTGGACATGCTGACATATGGAGCAGCGCTTCTAAGCACTTTCATATTGAATAGCTTGTCTGATGCTTTCTTTGCTAGCTCTTGATTCTTATGAATTCTACATGCGTTAAGAATTGATGACCACATTATTTCATCAGGTTCAAAGGGCATCTGAGCGATCAGTCTCTCAGCTTGGTTAAACCTTCCACTCCTACACAGCATATCAACCATTGAAGCGTAATGTTCTCTTTTTGGAACAAGTTTATAAGTTTGAGTCATGGAGTCGAAATATTTTAATCCTTCTTCAACCAGACCACAGTGGCTGCAGGCACACAAAACACTAAGGAAGCCGACTGAATCTGGTTGCAAACCTGAATGGACCATTTGTTCAAATGATCTAAGAGTAAGGTCACCGTCTCCATTTTGTGCATAAGCTGAAATTAGTGCATTCCAAGAGACGGAATTCCTTACAGGCATCTCTTGAAAATATGAAGCGCATCTTTCATGGATCCACATTTTGCATACATGTCAAGCAGTGCACTTCCAGAGAATACATTTGAAATGTATCCGGATCTGATTATGTACGAGTGTAACTGCTTTCCCAGTGAAAGTGAGGCTAAGCTTGCACAGGCTCTTAAGATGCTAGCATAAGTGGCTGAATCAGCACCTATTTTGCGCTTCTGCATCTCAAAGAATAGAGTCAGGCCTTCTTCATGGAGTCCCTTCTGAACATAAGCTGATATCAAGGCTGTCCAAGGAACTGAACTTTGATGGGTAAGATTTGCAAAAATCCCATTTGCTTCGTCAATTTGCCACACTTAGCATACATGTCAACCAAAGCATTTCCAACCTTAATTTCGGAATCAGCACCTGTCACAATAACTTGGGAATGAATTTGCCTGCCCAATTCCAGGTTTAGAGTATTTGCAGCGATGCTCAATATGGTTGAAAATGGGAATTGCCTGCGGTCAAATTTAGTATACTGTAATGCCCGGAAAAGATCAAAAGATTCTATGAGTTGGCCATTCCAAGCATAACATGTAATGAGTACATTGTAAGAGACGCCATCCAGTTCTGGCATCTCATCGAAAAGTTTCTTCACTTCAGAAACACAGTCATGCTTAGAGTAGAAATCAAGTAATGCATTAGCCACGAA